CTTACAGAACGATGCGATTGTATCATAAAAAATTGAAGAAACAAGATGAATTCTCATGTATCTGATTATGACGAAGCTTCATCTACGTTTGAGGGATCTCTCGTAGAAATATGAAAGAGGACTGGATTTCTTGAGGAGCCCGAATGTTTTTTGAGCGAACAGTACGCAGAAGCGGCGGGCGTGGAGAAGGGAAAAGGGCGTAGTAAGTCATACGGAGAGGCTCGTACGTCATCCTCCATCCGGGCCAACGCAACACATGGAAAGGGTCTGTGGTGCGCCGTGCGCCTCCATGCAACGATGAACGCGCGCCACTTGGTTCGCCTCTTTAGGTCGGAGTTCGTGCGTGTGCGTCTGTGAGACCAACACGGGGACACGGCACCCACACTTTGCGCGGAAGGTGCACCTCTATAGGAGAGGCCGAGCCACTTGGTCACGGGCGTGCAACGCGCACGCCTATGCTCGACGCGGCTCCGATCTTTTCAATTTATTGATTGTAAATTAGCGCCTTAAATGACCCGTGAACGGTACCGTCTCGTCACCGCGTGTGTCGTTCACCGTGCGCGACCGGAAGCATCGGCCGGCCATCAAGATGGAAAGATCTCCCGGCCATCTTCGCCAGCCATCAAGGTACATTTTCGAATTACATTCTCACACTCGTTTTTCTACATGTTTAATTACTTATTATCTGACATTTTCCAGGATCTCATCGAGCAAACAGGTGTGTCGATGATGGAAGACCGAGGAAATCTGGGCGAACGGTCGTTGAGTAACCGAAGTGAAATGAATTAATAATAACTGATGGGCCGTGAGGGGTTGCGCAGTTTTTGTACAAGTGAAAACTTGGGAAGTTTTTATACCGCACGCGGAGGAGAGAAGAGAAGCGGGACGATCCTTGGTCGATACGCGAAGGAAAATATGGCGGGTCTGTATTACCGGCGGGACCCGGAGCGACGATAGCAGTAAGCGTGGAGGGCGAATAAAGGGGATGGGGTAAACGAGCCGAGCCACGATTTCGTCGTCGTAAACGTCAACGTTACGGTTACAGCGTTGTTCCTGGCTGGTTTATATTGAACGAGGTTGCTCCCCGAGGTACGTAACACCTACTGGCAACCGTCGTATCGTCGAGCACCAGCCATACTCGTTTCCCGACTCGAGAACCAGAGAAAGACGGAGAGAGAGCGAAACGAGTGGGAGACCACGTGGATTTTACGCGGGAACCTTGCCTCTCTATACTCCGATTCCGGTGCTGTGAGTTCAAGGTTCCCTGTTTCTGTCCTCTCTAACGCGATAAAACGACTAATTAGAAAGTGTCAAGCATGTACGTGTAATCCCTGTTGCGCTCTCATCCCTCTCGCGCCAAACCCATTAATATAATTTCATCAAATGCAACATTTTCCAAATTCGTTTGACAATGAGTATTAAATGAAGCGACATAGTTTTTGGCACGAACTCGAAAACTTTCACCCTGACACGATGGAATGGTCGATGAAAAGAGTGCCGTGAAGATTAAATAAGAGGAAGTGGAGTGTATAAATAAGTTTCGCAATTTTTTAATCAATTTCAAAGGGTCAGCCCTGTAAGGGAACAGGGTTGGATTATCGAGCGATTCGATCTTCACGGTACGCTTCCCCCAACGCGATTCTCCTTTTTGTTCAACTGTTGACTCCTTCTCCTGGATACTAAACGACCCGGGGAAGCTCATATATTTTCCCTTAATTATTACAAAACTCGACTACGCGAGTTTTAAACAAGGCCAATTTGAATCATTGAATAATTCAACCTTTAAGTTTCCTCTTTAAGATTTTTACAAATAGTCTCTGGCAGGACGTGACAAGGATGAAATAACTATTAACAACGTCGGTTAACAGTAGGGAAGCCAGGGAAACGAGGCAGTTTTACAGAGAATAAATGAACCGCGGGGGTGTACGAAATAGTATTCGAAGCTCCGTCTTCACGCCCTCTAATTACCCCATAGACGCGGCAGACCCTTCAATGAGGGGTCATAAATTTCAGCCGCGTTTGAAAACAGCCCTCGAAAGTGATACGGGAGGACGGAAGAGAGCCTTTTGTGAGCCGGTGCCACTGCTCCTTGAAAATCATCAGCCACGGTGCAACGGAGCGTCGATAAAACTAACCAGCCGTTCAATCTCGCCAGCGACGATAATTTTATTGTCGAATAGACATTGTAATTCTCTGCCTCCCTCCTTATCTGAATAAATGTTGGCTATCCGAATAAGAGAAGGGGCACGTTTACACGTACATAACGATAGGTTATATTCCCCCCGATAGCGTTATATCGCTTCATTACCGTAACATTAATAAGAGAGACATTTACATCTGGAAACGGTGGCGATACCGACGCTAACGCCGGCCGTCATAAATCACAATGAGCTTCAACCGCGTGTACCCTTTGATGTTTATCACGGCCAATGATACAAATGCATTCCGCGCAATCAAGTTTCTTCGGGCAGTCGAGAACGCGCGTACACGCGACGCGGCGGTAGTACGTATGCGGTACCTCGAGGAGCGTTAATGCTGTCGCCGTAACACCGATCCGCAATGAAACGGAGCTTTAATGATACCCGTCTATCGATGCTCGCTGATTTGTGCGATTTCGCCGACGTAATCGCTTATTGCACACTTAGCAACGACGTTTAACGCTGTACCGTTCCCGGACTGATAAATGTTCTGCGTCGGACACTTTATTATTTACGGTGATGACCAGGAAGATATAATTTCTTTCTCTTAAAATATTGCACGAACATTACATTATTGTATTGCATATACATGACGTAACGTTGCTCATTTCCAAGATTGCGATACGTATTTTTAGCTTGTACATTGTCATATCTATTCGTTTGAATGAAAAATAATTCGTTTGGCAGAAGTACAAGGACACCTCTTTCCCGATGCAAAGATAAATAAATTGTCGACGCGCTCGATACCGTCATTTTCTAGGCCAGTCACGAGACGTCGACGGCAATAAAGTAGCGTCCCGATCGGATGGGTTCGGCAGAAGTGCGTGACGATACGGCTAAATTATTTATTATTAGAGGCGACGTTGATGGCTCTATATTTACCCGTACGTTTTAATCTACGAGGAAATAATCCATAATCCTGTATCGATAAATTTTCGCGACGCGTGTATCGGCTTGTAAGAGCGCTTTGCGGAGAACACTTGCCGCCGCGAAATGAGTCAACGGACTCTCCCGTAGGCTGCGAGAGAGCGCATAGAGCAAACCTGTTCGACGAGAGCGCGAGCCGATCAATCGCCAAAGCCCATTCCTACGATTCCACCTACGATCGTAGGATTCCCGCGCGCCGATTTGCACGCCTATACAATCGCACGCTCGAATCTTCCTCTACCTTACAGGAAAAACATTCTACAATCGCTTTCCCTTAACCGAGCGCGTGGACGATTCATCGATCATAAATCTTGTTGCAGTTATTGAATGGATGACGACCGAGTTGATTCAAGAACACGCGAGAGCAAGAGGAGGATGCTTTTTTTTCTCCTCCCCGAGGCACTACCGAAAACTGGCGTTAAGACTGCCTTATGAATATTAAAAATTCTATCCAAAGGTTCAATAACGTTATTTTCGCGTCATCGAGACTTTTGTGCGCATAAAAGGAGAGACGGTCCGGTAAACGGAGGAAAGAATGTGGCGAACCTTAAACTAAACTACTGGAGCAAAGAGTGAGAGAATGAGACTAGAAGACGAATATAGGGTAGAAAGGAGAACGAAACCAGAGAAGGAGAGAGAAAGAGAGAACGAGGCTAAAGACGAACAATCTAAAGAGCCCAGCTGAGTTGGCCGAGTTAGAGGGAAGAGAACCGGCCCTACCAAAAAGCGAGATGGAGCCTCGAGAGGGCCTCGGTGATTATATATCTGGCTACGGCGGCGAGGAGAGAGGCTACGCACCACGGGATGTGGTGGGACAAAGACACAGATAGAAACAGCTGACTACCGGAATTCGGGGTTCCGGAGGGGTGAGTACGACGAGGAAGGCACTTGAACCCCAATTGGACGAGGGCTTCCCCATTATACACGACGTGCCCAACGATTTTACACGCACTTGACTCCATTCTACCTATCCACCAGACGTAACTTTATCGCGTACGTACGACCGATTTTCCACGATCCAAAACTCCTAACGTACGTTCTAAACGCGCTTTTCGCCAAGACCAGGACTTTCTAAACAGTATTTACCAGATGTTCGATAGAAAATATAATTTATAACTAATCCGATGCTTCAAGAGGTCCCGAATAGATCAATTTTAGTTGGACCAAAGGTTACAGCTGGGTTCTTTTAATCCGGAGGTGGAGAAAAGAGTGACCGAGAGAGGCGCCTCGGGTTAATGATAACCCGAGGTGTCACTTTGCACGTCGCTTTCACGCGGCCGCGTTAGTTATTACCAACACCCGGCGGGCACGGTGCATTCGTTCGCGCAGAAGCCAACAGAATATTTTTAGTGCGGTGCCGACAATAAATCCGTTATCTCTGCCGAGCTTCGTGACGGATACGTCGTATTTCAATCGACGCACAAATAGACTCGGCGAGAAAAATTACAACCAGTTTTCGATGTAACAACGCAACGTCGACTTACCTACGCGCCGACTATTGTATCGCGTACTACATATCCGTGACTTCTATTTTTCAGAGCGGAACCAAGGTTCGAGTGATTTGTATAGTTCGTTCTACGTACGGTGATAGAATTTCACGTGAAAACTCAGTGCGAGGGTATGAGATCTGGAAACGTTTCGGGATTCGAGCATCGACCGTGAACCGTTCGACGATCTCGTCCGACGCTGGATAAACTCGATCCACCACGCCTTTCCCGACCACGTGGTGGCCTTCTACGCGCAACACACACGGACCGACTCTCTCCCCTAAGCAGCGCTTATGGTCGTACGTTCTATATTTCATCGCGGCTGTTATGATAATCGTCGTGGTTCATACGGGCGATAGAGACAGAGAGCACGTGAATGTAAACTCACCTGCTATAGCCATCCAGGGGTAGAAGGTATGGTTGGCGGGTTGCTGGTGCAGTTGCGTGGCAACCGGTTGGCTCGCGGACGAGTTCAAACTGCAGGTGTTCCAGGACGACGTTAGGGATCTCGAGGAGCTGTTGTTACCGGGACTCGACGCCGGGTCGCCGCCTACGAGACCGCCGTAGCTACCGACCCTGGTCCCCTCGGGGGTACACGCCGAGGGGCGGACCACCGAATTGCTCTGACTGTTCGCGCCCGAGGTCGCCGACTGCCAAACGTCCTTGACGGCCGCGGCTGCCATCACCGCCGCGTAACCGTTCTGATGCGCCGCTGCCTGGTCCTGCTGTTTACAATCCTTGGTCGCGGTCGTCGAGTAGGAGGAGGTGGTGTGTCCGGTCGCCTCGGGCGTCGACGAGTACAATTTACAGGCTGTAGCGACGCTCGCGTCGTACGGTGAGTCCTGCGGCGGTCTCGTGTTCGTACCACCGCCGGGATGGATGCCCAACGAGGACGAGGTGTGATGATGGTGCTGCGTAGACGCGTACGGTGACATGCCGAGGCCCAGAGGGAAACTTCGGTAGGCGGCCGCCGTGGCCGGGTCGTGGTGTTGACTCGCAGCCCCCGTCTGGTGGTGGTGACTTCCGTAGAAGCCACCCGCAGTCTGCTCGAAGTACGAGTTCATTATCCCGGGTATTTTGGAGCACTTTGCACTATGAACACCGGCACAAAGAGAAAGAAAAAAACAAACAGTGTCGCGCGACGCGACCCTCGAGGGTCCAGAGAATTGTTTTCGGTTCGAGTTTCTCTGAGAACGACGGAAGAGTACACGTGTTCGTCGTAGTTAGTCGCGACCGATGACAGAGTCCATGCTCTCAGCGCGATGCGTCGACGCGTTCTGGAGATCGTTCAGAGGTCCGTTCACTGTTCAAGGGTTACGGTCGCGTTCGGTGGTTCGCGCCAAAAGGTGGGGTGCGTCGTCTCGGGCCGATACGCCGTTTGACGCGCGCGGTGACAAGTGACAGCGTGGAGACCGGGTGACCGGTAAACAAACGATCATTAAACCGTTCTTAAGAGGTCGTAAAAGTCATCGGTAGGTATGAGCGCGAGCGGGGTTCGGTGTCAATGTCAGTAGACCGTAGGAGCGTGATTCCGAATGGGACTCATGGCAGCGGCGGGGGCTTTTATTGCTTGTTACGGTTAGCGCTACCGGGCAGGACTGTAAACCGGCGGTCTAGGCGGTGGTGGAAGCCGAACCAAGGCGCGGCAGCGATGATCGTTAAATCGTTACGACGCAATAAACCGGGGTAATAAGACGAGCTATAAAACTCTCGTGGGTCTCTCTGAACCGCGTGCGCGGCCGGCACGCGATGACGGTCTCCCTCGCGGACACCTCCTCTCCCTTTCTCCTCTCGGTTTCGGTTTTGATTAGCGAAAACGCGTGCGGAGTATTTTCCGCCTATTTTCCGAGTCGGTGCCACACGGGAATACTCGTTCCGTTTTATGCGGGGCCGATCTCTATCGAAGGACCGAAGCTATTATACTGCGCTCCGACTCCGCACTGCACTAGCACTAGTCGAAATGTGACTTCGCTCTGATGACTGCGAGGCTCGGTACGAAGCGACGTACGAAGGGGATCGTAACGAACCACGGTATGCCAGTGCGGTGGTCCACGGCACACTACCGCTTTTCTCGCGCCCCGTGTACCGCCACTCTGTGTACCGTTCTCTCTGTCTCTTGCTCCCTCGCTCGCCTCCTTTCCTCTCTCTTTCGCTCTCCTCGTTCCGCCGTCCAGCTCGTCCTCTCGCTCGTTCACGATCGTTCGCGTATACCTCTCTCTCTATCCTTTCCACTATCATTCCCTCTCTTCCTCCGAACCGATACGGTCTCGCTCGCGCACACTCTTCCACGGTGTACCGCCGCGTCGTCGCTGCTTCCACTGGCCGACCAGGCGGCTCAGCCACGGCCGATGCTTTTCCTCCTTGTCCTTCGCGCGCGACGCGACCCCCTCCCCGATACGATAACCGAGTTCTCTCGCTTCGACTCGTCACCCCCTCCACGAGTGCCCACTCACCCTCGCGTTCCATCTCGCTCCACCTCTCGACGACGCGCGACGCGTCGCGTCGCGTTCTCCTTCTTTTTCTCTCTCCGATTCTACGTTCTCGTTGTTTCTTTCTCTCGATTAGAATACGCCGCCGCGTTCGGAACGACTCGCGGCGACGTGCCGCGAGATTAAATTCGTATGGGACCACGTTGGTCTCGGAACACCGGATAAGACCAGATAAGATGAGTCCGGTCGAAAGAAATCGAGAGGCTGGAGAACGGCGAAGGAAGCTCCGAAATCGACGGACAAACGCAAAGGGACGAAGATACCTCGGACACCGGGAGAAACGGGTATAGAAGGAGAAGAGGATAAGGAGCGCGCGGCACAGGGAAAAGACGGGGTGAGAGAGAGCGAGAGGTGAAATCGCGGGGGCTAAGAGGGAGACCGAGGAGCCGTAGGAAGCTTGCGAAAGTGGTGGGAGGGGGAAGAAAACAGGGTGCCAAGGGAGGAGGTTATGCTTAAGGACCAATCAGAATTGAATTCGTCACGAGTGCCGAGCCGGCAGAGCACGAAAATTCCTACGCCTCGGGAAAGTAGTTCCAAGTTGAAACGACGCCCATGACCGGTTAGGCGCCGCCCCGCGTTGCCCCCACGCCCGGATGGAAAGGTCGCGAGGAGTCGCTGATACACAGAGACCGTAGGCTACCGAACTATACGCGAAAGCGCTGCACGACACGCGCGTCACGCAACGTTTCCCTCTTTCCATCCCGCTTCGCCCCGTAAGCCACCCTTCTTCACCCCTGAAAGCTCGGCCAGGATACGCGCACCGCCACCTCTGAACATCCTCGGGAACTAACGCTGCCAGATCCATTCAGACTCTCAAACGGCCAACATCAACGAGGCACCTTGCGATTATCGTTATTGGCGAGAACTCGGTCCCGGATAGTTCACCCTTGTACGTAAGCGGCGGACCGTTCGATCGACGAGCCGCGAACGAGTAGAGCGGCTCGACGTTTGGGTAGACGCGGGATATATTCGGGTCGAACCGAACCGGTCTGTCTCGAGATCCTTCGATGACGACGAGAACGTTATCGTAAACGTCCGTTTAACGAGACTGCTCGAGCGGTTTTACGAACCAATTAGACCACGGTGGTCGTACAATTAAAACGCCGTAAAAGTGAGTCGAGGCGCGGCAAGGGCGAGAGCGAGTGGCCGGTGGCGCGCGCCGGTATCGGGAATGTTTATTGGGATGTAAATGTCGCTGGATTATCGCCCCCGCGGTTCGCACCTCGTAAATTATTCCGTAACGAGCCGAGTAATGCCCATCATAAGCTGCTCTCCGAGGGCCGGATCGGGCTATTTGCTCGTTCACTTTCGCCATTATCAATGTTTAGGATACACGAACCGCCTATCTCTTCCGAGGAAAAAGAGCCGGTTCTCCTTTAGGAATCACGGGACGGGACCCGATCGTACGCGCGACGATGTTGTGTCTAGTCTCGCGATATTCGTCAACCTTGTGCGAGTATTTATTCGCTTTTGTTCGCAGTCGTTTTTTATAGCTCGTTCTGACGCCTGTCTTTATTAAAAGAATCGGCAAGTCAAAGAAATGAACGCATGCAGTAACATATGTTTCACGTTCGATGTTTGAACGCAGAATATATCGTAAGATGGTGGCAGCCACCCCAATTGATGAAACCCCTTGATGAGGAGGCCCGATGCACTTTTCGCTTTTGTGGGACTCCGACAGGTGGTAGCCCGTTTGCTTGAAAATCATGACGGCAATAAACTCGGGTTTTATGACCACTTGAACAGAATCGTAAAAGTCAAGGCCTTTAAGCTTATAGCGCGGTAGGACGCGTGTCGAATATGGTGGGGGCGTGAAGAGAGGCCACCATAACGCCGGCAAAGATTGGGGGAAGGGTGTCAGGGTGCTGTGTGTGGGTAGCCAAAATGGGCCTAAATGCCCCTTTTAAAACGCCATTGAAGATAACCAGCACAACCACTAAAAGGGGTTTTATTTAATGACCGGGGCTGTTCTCACAAAACCGGACACTGTTGCTACCGACGACGGTTACCTGATGGCTTCATGATTATTACAAGTTTCTTATTATCCTTTTCTCTTTCGCGCCGCGTCGTGACGTTCAGCTGCGTTTATGAACGTTCGTACCCGGCCGCTCTTTAATGAAAACGAAACGCGAGAAGAAAAAGGCGAAGTGCGATGGAATACATTGTTAATTCGTTCTCGCCCCATGAAAGATATTGCTATTGCCGTAGCAGGAATCGTCTTAAATATCTTACGCTCGTCCAGTACGAGGCATTCGTTAATTCTCGCGGCCGAGCATCGGCGACGATAAATCCGACCGCGTATCAGGAAGCATCATCGAACCGGACGATCGCATGCGAGCCAAAACCGATGATGGACACTCTCCTTATGGATTTCGAGTAAAAGCAAAATGAACGTGTAAGTATAGGAGGAGACCGTTCCAAGGTGGTGGGAGACGTATTAGACGGCTGGTAGCTATAGCAACGAAAGAGAAAGAGAGAGACGATGGACACGAAAGCAAAGCAAGGCCGTTGCACCCGAGCAAATCTGCACTCTTGCTAAACCAGCATCCATTCTTCATCGCTCCGGTGGCTTTGGCTCCTCTCCTCCTCTTCCTTCTTCATCTTGGTCTCTCCTCCAGCGTATGGTTCAACGCACTGCTTCGGACTCTCATTTTGGTCGGTTTCCACTCCTCTCTCTTTTTTTCTTCCTTCAACCCTGGTCCTCCTCTCTTCTCGGCTCTTCGCTCTCTCGTTTTAGTCTTATTCGCTTTCTTAAACCCGCCCTCCCCTTAGCTTCCTCCCCGGGGAGGTCGAGGATGAATATTCGATCATGAACGAGCGTCAGAATTTCAGATAAGCGCGATTCTCGTCGTCGTTATTCGCGCGGATCGGAACTCCTGGGGATCAAACCGTGATATAGGCTGACTCGTCCCCAGTACGCGATAATGGCGACGGTGCATTGAAAATCGAGTGTAATGTAAAAAAAAGATTAAGAAAAGCTCGCGTTAAGAAATCAATGTTAAAACTATAACTATTCGGGACGACTAAGATCGTTTCGATACGTCATTCCAATTGCAAACGAGGGAAATGGAGGGAATGGATAATAAAAATGTACGTAAGAAATCGAAAAACGACGAGGATACATATTGATCTTCGGGTAGGAAGGTAGGATCCTTTTTTCAAGGACATGGAAGAGGTCCTGTTTGCCATCTGGCGGTTCCCTGCGGTATCCTTCCTGCCTGCAAAAATATCTTTCGCAGCTTTCTACAGTTCTCGCTGCCGATCCGAGCCTTCACCGGATACAACGAGAACCACTGATACTCCTAAAACTTTTAGACATCATCCTTTCTAAACAAATATTTTCTTTGCGCTTTTAACATCGTAGAGCTCAGCACAGAAACGAAATGATCCTAATATTCCTCGTGCAGCTTAGCTTACAAATCGTTTCAATTAATACTCGGTCTCTCTTGTTTGGTCGACTAATCTTAACGATAATTTTGCACGCGGGTAATCTTGTCGGAAACGGGGAAAGCGCGTTGTAAAAATGGTATGGGACGAGAGACCGTGCGAAGGGGTGTAGCGAAGACAGCACCTAC